GCTAGATTTCAACCATGTCCTAAGGAATCACATTTACTAGCTGTTAAGAGAATCTTTAGATACCTTATGAACACTCCTAGTTTAGGACTTTGGTATCCTAGAGACTCTAGCTTTAGCTTGCATGCTTTTTCTGATGCGGATTATGGAGGATGTAAATTAGATAGGAAAAGCACCTCCGGTACTTGCCAATTCCTTGGAAATATGCTGATTTCTTGGTTTTCAAAGAAACAAAATTGTGTTGCATTATCTACCACTGAAGCGGAATATATTTCAACCGGTAGTTGTTGTGCACAAGTTTTATGGATGAAACAACAACTTTTTGATTATGGAATTGAAGTAGGTACTATTTCTATCAAGTGTGACAATACTAGTGCTATTTGTCTCACTAAAAATCCCATCCAACACTCTAGAACTAAACACATTGAAATTAGACATCACTTCATTAGAGACCATGTCACTAAGGAAAATGTAGTTCTAGAATTTGTTGATACTTTGCATCAATTAGCGGATATTTTTACAAAACCCTTAGATAAGGAAAGGTTTTGGACACTTAGGAGAGAATTATGTTTAACTGACCTATCTTCACTTAGTGTTTAAAATAATTCAGCACTTTTAATAAATACTGAAAAATGCTTATAATAGTAATTGTTGATTGCATTCATTGCTATTAGTTAGGGGGAGTTTATGATTATTGATGAAAAATTAATTTTATGTTCAAATATCGATTAAAGATTAATTTAATTATTTGAACATAATTATTTTTCAATATATGAGTTGCCAATACCACTAGAGAAGATTAATTTAGCATTTTGTGTGCTTAAAAATCAGATTTTAGCATTTTGGTATAGAGGGAATCGATCCCCCCCATGAGGGAACCGATTCCCCCTTTGAAGGGGAACCGATTCCCCCCACAGGGGAATCGATACCCCCCTGGGGTTCTGTTAAAATCGGGCAGAACACCCCCAAAACCCCAAAACCCTCTTATTTTTCTTCTTGCCGCCGTTCCCTCTCAACTCTTTCCCTATCTCCATTCTTGCCTCAAATCAACGATATTAATCGGAATTCGAATCAAATATCATCTTCTAAACCTGTTGGAATCATTAAAATCATGCAAACAACATCTAAATCCCCTCAATCTTCATCTTTCAAGGTAAATTTTTCTAAACTCTCTATTTCATTGATTTTGAACATATGATTAGTTTTAATTAGTTCTAGGTTGAAATAATGATCGGGCATTGATTGTTTAGTGATTAGAAACTAGATGTTACAACTAATTTCATCAAAAACACAAGAATTTTCCAAAAATTTTAAATTTTCGAAATTAAAAAAAAAATTGTTGTTTTTCAAATTATTGTGTTTTGATTAAATTATGTTGTTGTTATGAAAACTATACATATATTGTTTCTCAAAACCGTATTTTTCAAAAGTTTCTCAAAAACTTTGCCCATTAGGATTGATTTAGAGAATCTTGAAATATTGAGGACTCAATTGAGTTTTGGGATTAATTGAATTGCATACATTTGTTTTTAAAATTGCAGGTTATTCAATCTATTCCGATTTCTTTCACCATGTCCAATCCTAAACGTGCTAGGTCTTCATCTAGTCGCTCTAGTCGTCAACCAAATCCTCCTCCTATCCCTCAAAATCCTATTCCAAATCTTGATCCTAACTTGACTATCCAAAATTCTTGTTTCAATCAACCTGGTCCTAAAGATTATCGTTTTTGGTTTTACCAATATTTTGACTCGTATAAGATTAGGGAAGAACGTATCCCATCTCTTCAAGCTATGGTTGATATTAACTTTAAATATCTCCCTATCTTGCATGAATGGAATTTTGATAAACTTTTCGAACTTGAACCCGTTGTCTATCATCAACTTGTTCGTATTTTCTATAGTAATGCCGTTTGTATAAAAAATCGTGACAAAACCAAAACCATAGGAGTACGTTCCTACCTCCTAGGTCAATATTTCCATCTTGATCCGGCTTACATAGCCAATGCCTTAGGCTTGGATAATGAAGGTTTATCAAATGAAAAACAAGTTTTAGGCTCTCGATATAAACGAAATGATAGTGCAAGTGTTCTAGATCTTTATGAGCGTTTTCTTCATCTCATGATCACTTGGTGGTTTCGACCATCCGGGGGTCGATATTCTACTCTTAGAGCTTTAGATCTTTGGTGGTTGCATTATTTTCAACACAATATAAAAATAAACCTTTCCGAGATTATCTTTGCTGAGATTGTTGAAACCGTTAACCTAGTGCCAAATAAGAAACTCTGTTCTTCACTAGTTTACGGTTGTATCCTTAGTAATCTCTTTTCTAAAGCCGAGCTTCGAGTTGGTCTAGATGCCTCCTTTCCTCTTAAGAAACAAATCAATCTTCTTTCTTTAACAAGAGCGGGATGGGTCAAAGATAAAGAAATCGGTGAATGGGTTCGATCTTCTGCAACTACTCCGGGAGCTAGTTCTTCACAAGCTCCACTCGAAACTGACGAAGATCCAGAGTTTGAACAATTAATGAGGGATATCGATGAAGCCGAAGATGAGCCTGAGCAACCCGAGGAGCACGCACAACAATCAACTCAAATGCCTCCATATTTTCAATCCTTTATGGAGACATTTGATTTCCGATATGCGACCATGGATTCACGCTTTACCTCTATAGAGTCTCATTTATCCACAATGGGAGCTCAACAACTAGAGATTCTTCGGGAGATGCGTGCAAACAACTCACAAAATGGCCGCTATGCGAGCCCGTTTTCCTCCTCCCGATCCGGATGTTTGATTATGTGTTTAGCTTTAAAACTTTGAACAAAAAGAATATTGTTTCAACATTTTGAATATTTTGGATTGTTTGATTTTGTGGATTATTAGACTTTGGATTTATTTGAATGTTTGAATTTATATATTTGGTTTAGTTAACGATATTGCATCATTTACATCATTATTAGCAATATGACCAATTTTGCCATATCACATTGTTTATTAATATTGATTATGGAACTAATGGCTAACGTTTCTCTTGATTGTGATCTTAACAGCTTATGCATACATATACCTAATCAATTTGCTAAATGATTTTCACGTTTCTTTGGATCTTTTTTGATTTAACAAAAAGGGGGAGAAGTGTGTGTTTTAAGTGTATGTTTTAAGTGTGCTTTAAAAATGATAAATGAGAGAAGTGTTAAAATAAGGGTGAGTAATTTCAAAACTCGATTTCAAAATCTTAAAATTACTAAAATGTTTTGTTATATCAAAAAGAGGGAGATTGTTGAAAACATTTTGATATTTCGATATAACAAATTAAGTTAAATGAATTTTAAGATTTTCCAAATGATTTTCTAAGTATATTCGATATAATTATTCGAATATCAAAACATTACTCCAAATATTTCAAAAATCATTTTTAATCCTTACTTAAGTGTAAAATTAAGTTTTAATCTTAAAACAATTTCAAAATAATCTTTCAAAGTATTTCGAACCATTTCAAAGCCAAAAATTCCAGATTGCTCAGAGGGAACCGATTCCCCCCAAGGGGGTACCGATTCCCCCCTGAATGGTTTGGCTCCGAGATTTCCAGAATGCTCGGAGGGAACCGATTCCCCCATAGGGGGTACCGATTCCCCCCTATTCAACGGTCGAAATATTTGAATTTTACACTTAGGGAACCGATTCCCTATGAGGGGGTACCGATTCCCCCCACGCTCCAAACATTTTTATTAAATGTTTTCACACTAAAACGGCTATATTATCTTCACTAATCATCCCCAACGTTCAGAAGTGATTCAAGGTGTATTTAAGCAAGCTTAGGAGCCATTGATCAATAACAAGAAACATCAAGCAACTAGAATCAAGAGAGAATCAAAGAGAAAGCATCAAACCTCAAGTTTGAGCATTTCAAGCCTATTTTCATTCAATATTCATCTTGCTTTCAAGAACACATATTGTGCTCAATTGTATTCATCTTTGAGTGTTCTTTTCTTTGTTCTAGAATTGTGCAAACAATCTACCTTGTGAGGATTTCCTTGTAAGTTTGCAAAATTTGTATTGTTCTCTTTGGGAGAGAGTGTTCTCAAGAATTTGGGGTATAATTCTTGAGGGTTTGTAAGGTTACTCTTTGTCCTTAAAAGAAAGACAAATTAGTGAATTTGTGGAAAATCCTTAGTGTGGATAGCTAAGGTAGTGAACGTAGACTTTGATTGAGAAAGTCGAACCACTCTAAATCGTTGTGCAAATCTTTTCAATTTTCTGCAAAAGCTTCCACCAAAATTTTAAATTGCCAATTCACCCCCTCTTGGCCGATTCCGTCAATCGATTAACTCAACAGATATAAATCATTGTTCAATGCTCTATTTGATATTTTAGATGTAGTTTAAGGGTAAAATTAAGAATTAATATTTTCACATTATCAATTTAGCATAAATAATGGTGGAGTGATTATCTTATTACAAATCAATAATGTTAATGATCATTTTGTTACAAATTGATAATATTAATGACCAAATTATTACCTTTTAAATTTTAGTAGAGAAAATGAAAATTTACTAATACATTTGTGATCATTTGTATGATTTACACTAAAATAAAAAGCACACCCTGATTAAGTATTCTGATTTTTGGAGCATAGAGGCTGGTATTAATTCAAGCTGGAGTTTTAAGCGTTTACTTAAAATGAGACTTGAGGCTTACCCTGTTTTAGCTTATAGAGTCCAGAAGATTAGAGATATTTGGCAGCTGATTAGAAACAAGAAAACCAAAGTTACTTGGCACAAGTTGGTATGGTTTCCTCTTCATATTCCTAAGTATAGTATTATTGTATGGATGACCTTATTAGACATACTTCCAACGAAAGACGGGCTGAAACGTATGAGACTTGATATTGATGATAAATGTGTGTTTTGCAATGACTCGCTAGAAACTAGAGATCATTTATTCCTCCAATGTCCTATGGCTATTTCTATGTGGGAGGCGGTGTTGAACCTTAACGACATGTAGAGAACACGCTACGACTGTTGATCACTTGTCTTCCTAAATTGAACTTAGAGGTAATACAGATCTTGGTTTTCAAAGGTGCGCCCGGGCCGAGGCGCACCCAGGCGATGAAGATGGCGCATGCCTGGGTTGAGGCGAAGCGATTTACAAGAGGCGCCGGGCCCCGGGTGCGGCGCCTTTGCGTCTTTCGGATTTTTTAATATATTAATAAATTATTATATTTTAATATTAAAAAAACCATCTTAAAAAAAACTTATGATACAATCACCAAACATAATCTCTAATATTCTTTCTCCATCGCACGCCTCTCTTCTCCACCATACTTCTTTAATGGTGCATGATGATGATGAGGAAGAAGAGGATATTGGTGAAGATGGAGAATACGATGGCAATGATGGAGATGGTTACAGGGATGATGATGATTTGGAGTGATGATGTATTGATGTAGTTTTTTACTACTTTGCTTTATTTTTTGTTCAAATGTTGCAACTCGAAACATTAAGATGGTGATATTTGCTTTGCTTTTTATTTCTTCTATTTGAACTATGTTTTTTATGTTAGTTTGTGTGTTGTTAGTTGATGGTGTAGTGGAATTGAATATTTTGATCAGGGTTTCAAAAAACGGTCCGCGACCGCGATATAGCTGTTTCGTCGTCGTCCGAGTTACCCGCGACGGCTGCAATAGCGTCCGCGGCGACCTCAATAGCTCCCGCGACGGCCGCAATCACGATAAATCCGAAATAACCAAAAACGCGACCGCGACAGCGATTTGAAACCATGATTTTGATCTTTAAAGAGCTATAATATATTATTTATCATGATATTTTGAGTACAAAATATAGTTTACACTTGATATATATTATATATTACAAACAATGCGCCTCGCATATGAAAAGCGCGCACCTGCGTCTAGGCTCCAGGGACCTTTTGTGCCTTGGTGCGCCTTGCGCCCTTAAAAAACCAAGATACGGATTTACTATGATTTGGTTTTGATAACCAAATTTACCGTAGCGTGAGTTATTATTGCAGCACTGTGTTGAACTTATTTTAATTGTTGCTTCTTTGGACTTTGATAATTCGAGAGGAAGGCGAGGAAAGATGCAACTCAAGTTGTTGCAAATTTGCAAAGGCAACAAGTGAATTCACGGTTGATTGCTTCTGATTACTTGGAGGCGAACATGGATCTCATGGATGTTTTAATAGCAGGGTAAGTGGCAATCTGAAAAGATTTACAGATGTTAAGATCTTCTGTTACTATCTTTTTAATTTTCTTGTTGGTGTTAGAGTTCAGTATGACTTTATTAGCTCCTTGTATCTTTGTCTCTTTGTTGTTTTCATCAACATAAGGCAAGAGCTAAGATTATGAGTTAATGATGGTTTTCAGTATTATGTTTTATTCTTTAATTAAGAAAAACAAATTTGGAGGTACTTCTGTTAATGGATTCTACTTATTGACCAAATCACATGTGTTCCAAACATTTGCCTGGTTTATATTGAAGCTAGAATTCAATATTGTGTATGAGATCTAATAATGCTGCCTTTTGGTTATGCTGTCAAATTGAGCTTTATTTTGTATCTATTATCTTTTAAGTCTTAAGTTTTGTATTTTCAGTTATGAGAACACAGACATGGCTTTGCATTATGGTACAATGTTGAGAGAATGCATACGGAATCAGACTGTTGCAAGGTTAGCATAGTCATCGACCTAGTTAATTCATACCTTAATGATTTGGCTTCTTAACCTTTAGTGAATATAATGATGCCCCAAGTCATTTCTACTTCCTCTATCTAATCCGCCAATGTTTTCAAAATGTTTGTACTCAAGAGGCAATCTTGTCCATTACTTACATTTGAAAGCTTTTCCTTTTTCCTTTACATTTTTTATTTGGGAGCCTCATCTCGTAAATTTTTTAGTAAAAGAAATCAAAATAATTGAAGATTTTCTGATATACTAATTCCTGACTGTAACACGTTTTGTCATTTTTTTAACAGATGTGTTTTGGAGTCACAGCACATGAAGAAATTTTTTGACTATATACAACTTCCAAATTTCGATATTTCTGCTGATGCTGCTGCAACTTTTAAGGTTGATAACTGCAGATCTAATTATATGTTAAAATAATCGTTCTTTCTTCTCTCAGTTTCTTTCTGTATTTTCTTGTTGCACTTCTGAATCTGCATTTGCAATTGAATCCTGTTTCAGAACAACCTGTTTTGAAGTAGGGATCTGATTTGCTTTTCAATCTTATATTGTTAAAACGGAGGTCTTTTCATTTTCAGTACATCAAGAAAAGTTGTTTTGTTTGATGTTGAGTCATCATGGCATGAATTCCTCCGTTCTTTCTTCATAATTTTAAAATATCGTGTAAACTTCAGATGTCATGTCATGTAACATTATGTTTTCTTGCAGGAGCTCTTGACAAGGCATAAGTCCACTGTGGCTGAGTTTCTTTCTAGGAACTATGACTGGGTAAGTGTTGTTCCTCCTGTATCGTTGTCCTTTAAATTGTGAATTTGTTATTTATACTTGAAGAATCATGTCAGTCCATAATTATTGGTAGAGCTTGTAAATTGTTCCATTAGAAGCACATTATTCTCTTCCATGTTTGACTAGATGTTTTCAATCACAAGGTTTTAATTTGTAATGATGCTAAAGATAGCTACAATAGAATTCTCTAAATTTCATCTCCATGCCTTTTTTATGTTGAAAGTTTTTATTTATTGAAGCTCAATGAACTCAGCCGTGTTTGTTGTTTCAGTTCTTTGCTGAATATAACTCGAAGTTGCTGGAATCTAGCAACTATATTACTAGAAGACAAGCAATCAAGGTACGACCCTTTCATAAATTAAAAGAAAACGAGTATTACTTCAATTTCCTCCCAATCAAAACAAAAGGTTGGTGCTTCTAAATGCTTTACTTCACATTAGTATTGCCAAAGGGTTCATTTGCTGATTCAAACTGAAAGTATAAGTTCTAATAAGTTTGAATAATGGAATAATAGTGGCACCATTCTGGGATTCTAAACATCAATAGTTTGCTAAGAGATGAATGACCAAAAGTGCTGGTTTAGATTTTATATCTCAATCAAATTGAAGTTCCTATTTTAAATGTTGACATCATAGTAGTATGATGGCTGTTTTATTTCTAAAGTTTGCTAAATAAGATATGGCAGTAGTAATTGCAGTTGTAATTTTCTTTGCTAAGGAGACCTGTCATAATTTATATTTCCTCTTCTTAATGCCACAGTTGTTGGGAGATATTTTGTTGGACCGGTCAAATTCTGATGTCATGACCAGATACGTGAGCTCAAGGGATAATTTAAGGATTCTCATGAATCTTCTAAGGGTATGAAAACTTCTCAGTCTTGCTTTCGTTTTTCTTTATCCCTCATTACTATGGAACGATCAAATTTTCTAAGACTCTGATGTGTTGGATGTTATTCTATTATACTATCCTACATGAAATAGCTCTCAGAATGAGTCACTATCGACTATTGTAAAAATGTGCAGCATATATTAACAAATATATGATTATGCATGTAGCTGCAACTTCTGAGATTTCCTATTCAAGTATTAAAGATCAACTACAATGTTAAAGTACTAAACGGTGAATTCATGTATACACAGGAATCGAGCAAGAGCATCCAAATAGAAGCTTTTCATGTTTTCAAGGTACGGTGCTAAATTTCTTCTCCTCCGGGGCACTCTTGATACATTAAGTTGCTTACAATATCCTTTTGTGTATGTCTCGACAGTTGTTTGCTGCGAACCAGAACAAGCCTCCAGACATTGTTAGCATACTGGTTGCAAATAAAAGCAAGCTTCTACGTTTGTTTGCAGACTTCAAGACCGATAAAGGTGCGAATAAGAAGCACATGTAACATTACTTTTGCTTGAAATAGATTTAGGCTCAGCAATTCCTATTTATAGTTTGGAGTGTTGATGGATTATCATGTCGTGCAGAGGATGAACAGTTTGAGGCAGACAAGGCTCAAGTTGTGAAAGAAATCGCTTCCCTTGAGCTTAGAGACCGGCCAGAGTGAGCTCTTGTATACTCAGAATCGAATAACGATCTCCTAGTCGTAGACTTGTAGTACTTTCGGAAGGGCATGTAATATGTAAAAAAGAAGGCTTTTCATTTCTGTTTCCTCGGTCATAGAATCTTATTGTCTCTGTGTGTGGGGATGATTGCCGACATAAACATCGGCTGACCAAAAAAAACGATAGGTAGGGTGGATATAACATAATATTATTATTGGAATAAGATGATTCGATCAATCGAGATAGATCGATTCAGCTCTACATTGGTGATTCTTAATGCTTGTTCTGGTTGTTAATGGTTATGTGCTCACCGTTCCAAATTTGACCGTTCTTCCAGGTGTGCATTGACCGTACTTCCAGGGATTGGCACACGGATTGTTTACAGTTATCTCTATTTGGTAGTTATGAGATTCGAAATTTCGAATTGAATAAGGCATAAATATTGTTTAAAGTTCAAACTTTAAAGCAATGTTGCAAAATAGGAAACACATTTGTTGATGAAACGTATACTATTACGACTAACACTAATGCTGATAAAAGCAGAATCGAATATATCAGTGGATTGAATCAGTAATCGGTTATTTTATTGATTTAATTAACGTTATTGGTTTAAGCATAGAATGGATGTTACTACAAATCGACCTTGATGTATCATAATGAAGATTAGGTACAAAGTATGCGTGACATTATCTGATGCGAATTATTATTTGTTTTGAAGGTAAAATAAAAATTTAACCTATTGATAAAAAAATTGGTCTGATCGGATTTAGAAGGGAAGTTGGGAAGGAACCTTCAGTTGATGTCCCGTTTCGTTTCATGTAGCTTTCAAATCAGAAAAATGGGTGGCAGGCACATTGGAGCATTCGCCGAATCTCCTTTGATCTTGCAACAGCTACAGTTTCATCACGGGATAAGTAAAGGTCAAATTCTGTTGTTAGTCCCTGTTATATATGAAGTCGTAATTTAGCACTTATATTCGAATTTGCTTGATTTATGTATTTTAGTTAAAATACTAAAAATAATCAAATTAAAAACCATACGTAAATCTAGTACAGTTATTAATCACAGAATAATGTGAAGAAGTAAAGGGCATTTTATTTCCAGTAAATAGTATAAAACCAGCACACGAGTCTCCTTTTGTTTGTTAACTCTGCTGCTTGTTCTTCGTATCTGAAATTCTCTCCTACCCGATTTCCAAAACACCCACAAATCCATCATCGATTATTATTTCTTAAATTCTCTGTAACCAACCATTTTAACATGGCTGACAATGGTAGGAACTTGATTAATTCGCTTTTCTCTATTTTTTTCTTTATCTTATTTATATTTCCCTTTCTGGGATTTCGATTTCTTGTTCATAATCCTTTTTCTTTCGTAAATTCTGTGGATTTCAGGTTCCAATGAAGAGTTCTTGGCAACTGCAGTCGATGCAGCTAAGAAAGCCGGCGAGGTTCATTAAAAAAAGTTTCATCTTCATTTTCTTCTTCTTTCGCAATTTACTTCATCGATTTGTTCACTTCATTTCTCTCACCTTTTTTATTCGATGTTTTTAAAGATAATTCGTAAAGGATTTTACCAAACCAGAACGTGGAGCATAAAGGCCAGGTCTTTCTTTTATTTTCTCTCTCTAATTCTTTATTTTTTGGTCATTTCTGGTTAGCTTACTATGAAAAACTATATGCTGATAAGGGTATTTAAAATTATTAATGTTGGTTTATTATTATGGTTAACTAATGCACTCGTTGATTAGTGCTAGAGTAGCTGATGAAACTGTGTTTATCTAATCTTATTAGAGGTTCTTGGGTTGATTTTTCACTACATTTCAAATTGATTGTGATTCTATTTTAAATTGTAGAAACTACTACTTTCCTATTTAGAAATGAAAATGGCTACTTAAAAGTTGCTTATTTGATCTAAATCCAGGTGGATTTGGTCACAGAGACTGATAAGGCATGTGAGGACCTTGTTTTTAATCATATGAAGCAGCATTACCCTCTCATAAGGTTAGCGATTTTCTTTATCTAATTATCTACCATGTATCTATCAAGGTTCGAATACAAGTGTTCTCGGAAGTAAATGCTGTTGTTTTAGTTCATTGGGGAAGAAACCACTGCTGCTTTTGGTACATCAGAGCTGACTGATGAGCCTACTTGGATAGTTGATCCTCTTGATGGAACAACTAATTTTGTGCACGGGTAAAGGCTTTTCTTTTACTTGTCTTATATTCAAGTCTTTGGTGTTCGTGTTCGGTCATTTTCATGTTGATCGTTTGCAATTGTGTAGGTTTCCATTCGTGTGCGTATCCATTGGTTTTACTGTTGGGAAAGCTCCTACAGTTGGTGTTGTTTACAATCCAATAATGAATGAGGTGAGAATTGCCCTTTAAGAAGACTTTTAAAAAAAAGCTTAAATCTAGAGTTTTGTCTTTCTTTATCACAAGTTAAACATATGTTACCGGGTTTATGGCATGCAGCTCTTTACTGCTGTACTTGGAAAAGGTGCTTTTCTCAATGGGACCCCTATAAAAGGTGAATCTAATGCTCTATGATTACTATATATAGGTCCTTAAACTTGAACTGAAATCTCTTAAAGATTTGTTCTTCTGCTCTGAAATTTTGCAGTGTCATCTCAAAACGAACTCGTTAAGTCTCTACTTGCAACAGAGGTTTGGAGCTTATTTTGATCTGAAATTTCATTTTAACTTATTTGTTTCTTTGTTGGGTGTAACTGAACTTCGTAATGTTTGGCTCCAGTTTCTAATCCTGTATTAGAAAATATTATCATGTTACTGCTGGCTGGTTGTTAGCTGATAATAGTATGGGACTATTCGACATAATTAAGATAGGAGAGTTTTGTAAGGATGTAAAAGCTTGACTAAATTTTTCATGTTGAGCAGGTTGGAACAAAACGAGATGTGTTAACGGTGGATACTACTACAAATCGAATCAATAACTTACTTTTCAAGGTAACCTGAAACTGGTGATTTTTTCCTTCTTTTGTTACTATATGTGCAAACTAGAAATACATAGCGATTTTCTTTGAATAAAAGGTGAGATCACTTCGGATGAGTGGTTCATGTGCATTGAACCTTTGTGGAATCGCATGTGGAAGGCTTGACCTGTTTTACGAACTTGGCTATGGTGGCCCATGGTATGTTTTTAATCATTTCAATATTTGATGAAGGTCAGAGTTCGGTAAATAATTGACAGTGTCTGCCTCTTTGTTCAGGGATGTGGCAGCTGGTGCTTTAATCGTTAAAGAAGCTGGAGGCCTTGTTTATGATCCGTATGAAGCTAACACGTTTAACCAAGCATATCTTTGTATTTCATTTTTGTAATCTAAACTGAAAGTTTATATTTGATGTTAACTGGTTTCGGCTTTTTTTTTTGGTTCAGGTTTGGTAAAGATTTCGAAATCACAGTTCCAAAAGTTGCTGCTTCAAATCCATTCCTCAAAGATGCATTTGTCGAGGTTTTGAAGCAAATGGAATGAGGCTGCTCTCATGTGTAATCTATCATTATTTGATATGCAGACGTTACTTTGTTCTTGTTGGGGAAGATTGTTGAAACATTTATATTCTTGAGGGGAAAGCCTATGCCCTATATTGAGCTTATAACTCGCTTCATTGCATTTGCCAATATAAATTTGCTTTTGTTGAATGATTGTTAGTTGGTGATTGATCAAGTTTACCGGAGTCGAAAACAATCTATTGGGAAATTATAGTAAATTACAGACCATTGTTGTTCGAATCAGACCGGACTGGTCGGTTGAATGGGAAACAAGTGTGTAACCCCCTAGACCTGGTCTGTGAGTTAGACCCAAACCTAAGTGGTCACATATCCCATTCAGAGGTTTTTTTTTTTTTTTTCCACTTATAGGACGATAAATATAATATAGAACATAATATTAATAATACAAATATGTCCAAAACGATAATAAAATACATGTCACCAAACATAACCAAAAAAAAACATATAGAAATATATGTTCGTACAAAATAAAGTAGTTGATTTCTCCTGATGCCAAATCTGCTAGCTTACGGTCTGCTGTTATCTGAAAAATGTTAAAATTTACAGAATGAGCTAAAAAGCCCAGTGTGTTCCATACAGTGTATATAAAAACATACTGATAAAATATTCCAGTAAAGTCGGTTTATGCAATCATGTCGTAAAAAAAAATATGAACACTACCCCCAGCCCATCACAACAGAATGTGTAGGTTCCCCAGAACCATACACCCAGCCCACACAACAAATAAGGCCCTGAGCACAAAGCCGAGGAACCTACGGATATACTTCCTTCAACGATACCCCCCAATGATGGAGATGTTCATGAATGTATTTGAATGAAAACAATGATTAAATCTTTAAACATAAAAGTGTTCATGCTTAACATAATATACAGAAATACGGAAATCAGAAGACAGTCAGTAGTATACAGAATTTCAGATATCGAATATTCAATATTCAGAAGATCGGTATAAAATACCGTAACCAGAATTCATTTCAGAAATATGTGGCAAATCAGATGTCATATACATAATGTTCAGATGTATATTTTAAAACAGAAATAATTAACACTGTCGGGAAAACACCTGTAACAGTCTGAGAAATCAGATAGGGAAGCCTATTGCTGGGTCTGTCGATCACGTTCTGCTGCAGCGCTAGATCTACGAATTGGAAAAATCCATATTGGAATCCTAATATAAATAATCTAAATATTATTTAAATAATATACAGAAACCTACGGGTAATTCTCGTAGTACGCGGTTCAGGCTGATCTAACGAACGGATAATACCGGACCTAATTGATCCTTGTTCAGGTGAAACACGAGTACCTTCATAAAATATTTTATTGAATAAATCCTTTACCAATATCGTTTAAATAATCAAATATTAAAATATTAAGCCTTTTGGGTTTACAAGCTCGATTCGGGAATTTCGGGTCAGAATTTGGCAAAACGGACTTCGGAATCAAATTCAGGACGTCGAAAATATAAAGTATGACCTTCCGAAATTTCGAAT